GAGCTGTGTGGGGCAGGGCGGGTGGGCTGCAACTGTATGCTGGAGACTGGGCTGTGCCAGGCTCTTCTTGCTGGGGGCTGAGCTCAGGGCGAGGGCTACAGAGGGGGCTGCAGCCACCCCAGATTTCACTGTAGCTCTCTCCCAGCACCACCGTGTGCCCGGCGCAGCCCCGGCTCTTCCTGGTACACGGGGAGAGGTGGAGTTTGAGCTGGGAAGAGCCAGGGCTGTGCCAGGTGCGTGGCGGCCATGGCACTAGGAGGGAGCTATGGCAAAATCTGGGGTGGCTGCAGCCCCCTCCTCCCCTTCCACCACAGTGGATTTACCAGCTGGAGGCATCTTTCTATTCTGTATCGGAAATCAGATCTGTATCAGCCAATATACCTGCTTAAAAAATTGGATATCGGTATTGGTCTGAAAAACCTCTATCAGTGCACCCCTAGTAGAAAACAATGCAGCCGGTCCTCTTTGAATCCAGGGGGTTTGTACTGTGAAGTGTTAGTGTGTTCACTTTATGGGTAGACAGTTCCTACCTGTGGAAAAATCCCAGGAAAGAAATGTGGACCATGCTTAATGGACTTCCCTGAGTTCCAGTCTTGTGTCAGTTGCTCATGCCCTCTTTGGCTCTAGATAAGTTACTTGCGGGTTTTGCTTCTTTCTCTGTGTGGAAAACCACAACGATAAAACCTGTTATGTGAGTGGAGTTTAGAAATCACCTTAAAGAATCAATTTGTTTTTTACGCTGCTAGTTACTATTGTTTTTGTGCTCAAGTGACCCTTTTTGGCTTGCAGCCACTTTAGCAGCAGTTGGGACTGGAGACCTGAGTAAACTTTAATTGGGTCTCTGGTTTTTTGTTTTTTTTTTTTTTAAGTAGATGCTGTATTCTGTCCACTCTATATTATTTAACTCTGAGATTCTTGAGATGTGCTTGAGATTAAATACTTGCAGGGTCACCCATGGCTCTTTGCTTTGTGTAAGAATGTAGGGGCATGTGTAAGGTTGATAAACTGTATTTTGCCTATAAAACCCTAACGTTACAGCATAGTGATATTGGGGTTTGGACTGTCTAATGTTTGAGGTCTTGTTCAGTCATGTGACTATGTGAAAAACATTTGGAACAAAGGGGGCAAATTTTCAAATGCTGCTTTCTGTTTTCCATTACTAAAATATGTGCAAAAATATATAAGCAAAGGTATTTGTTTGTATGTAATTGAAGAAATACCTATTTTCCACATGCAGGAGGACACTTGTATATTCCTGTATGTACAGGCATTCACAAACATGCGCAGTCTACAGACTTTCTGGGCCCTGGAACTGACTGGAACTATAGTTCTTGTAGTTTATCTTTGATGACATTTGACACAGCTCCCCCCACCCCCGCCCCCGACAGTTAGTTACTCAAATATAAGACTACCCGTCACTAATTAGATTTGATATTTGATATAATTTTCTAGGTATGGAATCTAATTATTGGAGGTTTGCCTTGAATTCATCCCCTTCTCACTGCTACAGCAGGGAAAATAAGTCTGGGGAGTCAGACAGGTAGCTTCCTTGCTCTGCCCCCCCAACTTCTTTCCCCTGCAGCCTATTCCCCACCACCGCCTTACTGTCAGATCCTGCTTTCACTGAGCACATGGAAGTGAGAAGCAAGTCTGAAAACACTGACCTAGAAACAAACATACCTGTAATAACTTGCACATAGGGAAATTACAGGTACCCAGAGCCTTAATTCATCCAGAATTGCTGCGATTTATCTGTTTTGAAACTGCTGCAGATTTTAGCACAGGTACTCCATAAATACACTTTTAAGCAGCACTTCTGTACCTACTTGGATATATTACAAACTATGCATGACATTATTCCAAAGCCAAAAGGCTGATGATTTACCATATAGTTCACTGGGCTGGGCCTCAGCAGGGACAACAGCAGTTCAAGCCATGGTGACCCCGTAGCTCAGCACTATTTAGTATGTGTGGGTGCTCCAGATATCCACCCCACCCAAAGGAGCCATGTGCTAATTATCCCCACCCCTCCCCACCCATGACTGGAATCTGGTGTTCTTTTTATGAGTCCTGGGATCCTCCAAAATTTTTTATGCACATGAGGCCCAGGGCAGCCTGGTCCTGCTCCATTTCATGGAAGGCAGGGCCACACTAATCATATGTGACAGGCTGGGACAAGG